TGCGTTAGGCATCCAAACGCACGGTTCAGACCCTGCGTTAAATACTCTTTTCAACACAAAGGTCAGAACTTGTGTTAAAACACTTAAACGCAGAGTCTAAACCCTGTGTTACAAAATTCGAGCGTAGAGGTCGGATCCCAACGCTTCAAATTTTGAACACAGATGCCCAACTCTGTGTTACAACCTCAAAACGAGTTTCCTCGTTGATCAGAACTTGCCAAAGCAAGTTTTATGGCCACAAAAATCGACACTCACCATCGACGAGAGGAACTGGCAGCGGCGGCGCATCGGTCGGGACTGCAGCATCGCCGACAACCGAAGCCGACAGTGAACTCTGAGCAGCGGTGACGGTGGACTTGGGACGAGAAATAGTCTTCTTCCTGGGACCCATTAAAGATGACGGTAGGAGAAGATGAACAGGCGATTCATATTTTAAAACGAAAATTTTTTCGTTAAGTCTTTCGGAGAGGAATAGAAGCAATAGTCGAATGACTCTTGATTTGATCCCAGCGGTCTGTTTATAAGACAACTGTGAGCTATCAAATCAGGATGAGATTCTAGGCTAGAATCCCGCCAAACGCGTTCTCTGCGTCGGCGTTGGTTGAACTTCTGAACGCAGAGTTCGTCTCTGCATTTCAATTATCAAGCACATAAGTCCACCTGTGCGTTTTAACGCCTCAAAATGAACTTTTCGACAAATAGGGCTATGACATAGCTTCAAATAAATAAAGAGAGTCTAATGTTAGTCATCAAGGTGACCAAAAGCCGAGAAGAAACTTGTTGATGACAAACAACATTGCAGCCTTTAGGATGAGTACAGATAGATTACAGTCAGTGATGATTGAAATCATCGAGTTTGATTTGTCAAGCAACTCATTCTTCTGAAGGGCTTAACATTCCCACTAAGATTAACAAAATCAAAAGATGCTCAATTTCACTGAAGAAGACCTCATTGACAAAACTGTTTACCCCACGTTTTGAGGGATTTTCGCCCACTTAGGAGCAGATTTAGGGGTTGGTTACACCCCTTACCCCCCTATAAATAACCGTCTTACTCAACCGAGTAAAAAGAGGTGGGATTTTCTGGGGATTCTTAGAGATCAAGGGCAGATTCTCTTAGAGATTGGAGTTTTCGGCTAGATTTTAAAGATCAAATCATCTACAAGATCAGCTAGAGAGAGTTATTGGCAGCGAGAAGATCAAGTCTTCGGGGATCTTTCAGCAACAGGGTTTTAACCGATTGTTCGGTTTCAATAACTCTTTTCACAGAGTTTTCAACTCGCTCTGAGTTACAAAACTCGTTAAGAGTTCTTAATTAAACTTGCACTCTTTTCACAGAGTTTTCAACTCGCTCTGAGTTACAAAACTCGTTAAGAGTTCTTAATTAAACTTGCAACGCAAGTTAACGAGTTTTCAACTCGCTCTGAGTTACAAAACTCGTTAAGAGTTCTTAATTAAACTTGCAACGCAAGTTAACGCAAGTTAACGCAAGTTAATTGTTCTAACAAGATAAGACGTGCGGATCGTCAACGGAGAGCAAATTCGAAGCGAGCATTCGAAGGAAGCACTCTATCGCGCTACTGTGAAGAACCCAGAATTAAACAAAGGGGAGAATTCAGATCAATTCTCCTATCTTTTATAATCGGGAATTCAAATTGTAATTAAGATTGAGAGAATACATATCAAATTTCTTTCATTTTATTTACTAATCAAATTTTCACCAAACAACAAGTAATGCAGAATTAATAAGAGCTAAAAAAATCTCAAATTTCCTCATATTTTAACCTTTTATTGAAGCACAAGATCATGCCAAGCAACCTATAGAAGCAGAAGAAACAAGGATCAAATATGAAAAAAATCAAATCAAATTCATATTCAAAAGCATATTTTGCCACCATTAATTTCACCAATAGGATAAGCTGCATTGATTTACAAAAGCTTAAACTCTAATTAAAGCGATATATCATATAGCAAGTCTTACTGTAGAAGTGTAAAATCTTTAATTTTGATACTTGACGAGTATTATTGACCACTTTGATTGGCTTGTTAGTTTCCAGTTCATCACATTTTGTATACAGATACTTCGCCTCGTATTCACCAGCAAATGCATCATGAACACTCATAATCTCTATGACCCCAAAGAAGACAGAGTTTGTGTTTCTTTTTCAGAAAAATATAAATAAAAGTGAGAATTTTACCATCTCATCTCGTGTGGCGGCGAAAGTTGATGAATAACAACCTGATTTTGTATTCAATTTTTGTTACCATATTCACCCTATTTGCACTCTTTTTATCACAAGCATATTATCATACAATGTCTAGAATTTAGATGTATATTCCACAAGGAAGGTTCTAGAGTTAATTGCTCGATTCCTTTGCTTTAATCACAGGCATAAATATCTTGTTTTCATACCTTCTGTAAATAGGTAAGTCATGGATAATAATAGTTGTTGTTGCTCTTTTTGTGCGCGTGCGTGCGCGTGTAGCTAAAATAGTTACATATCAGGGCTGGATATATAAAATTTCCTGCCGTAATAACCTTTTCGAATGCCATAGTGTTATTTGCTGTTTGGTAACACTTTGTGTGCTGATTAGCTATGCGTTTGTTTTCTCTATAGCTTTGTTACAGCAAAAGTTATTTTGTGACAAACCATCAGAATAATTGCTTCCTGAATCTACCACAGTCTGTTTTGAACACTATCCTCAATGCTGTCAATTTGGTTTAACCCATAGATCTGCAGGAAACGTTATGTTTGTTATAATCCACAATACTAACCGAAAGCTCATTTTAAACTCTTCCAGCATTGTTGAATTGAGGCGGCATGATTTTTTTAAAGTTGAACATCGTCCTACGTACGACTCCGGCTACAAGATCCAATGAGGATTTATGATCGTGGCTCGATTCCTGCTCATTATTGGATAACAAGTTATCTTGAACACCAAGTTTCCTCATTCTAGTCCTCTCCCTAGCTCTTGCTCTTGCCATTTCTCTCAATTCTTGGCAAATTTAGGTTGGCATGGAGGTTGTAATCTTCTTCTATTAAAAGCATAAAAGTTCATACAAAATGCTTAGAAGTATAAGTTTTAGATTCTACCCTTCTGACAGTGGTAGATTAAGGATTATACATCTCGATGTCTATTGTTGCAATATTTTGGTAGTGATTGGATGCTGTATAAGCAAAGTTTTGGTAGTTTATATATCTTTTGAAAATTTGCAAATAACCCCCTAAAAACTTGCAAAAAAGCCCCCAAAAGTTGGCAAAACCCCCTAAAAGTTTGCAAAAAACCTCCTAAGAGTTGGCAAAAAGCCCCCTAAAAGTTTGCAGAAAACCCGCTAAAGTTGGCTGAAATCCCCCTAAAAGTTAGCAAAAAACCCCTAAAAGATTGCAAAAAAAGCCCTAGAAGTTCGCAGAAACCACAAAAGTTTACAAACCCCCCTAAAGTTTGCAGAAAACCCCCTAAAAGTTTGCAGAAAGCCCCTCAATAGTTTACAGAAAACCGTCTAAAAGTTTGCAGAAAGCCTCTCAATAGTTTGCAAAAACCCCTTGAGTTTGTAGAAAGCCCACCTAATGTTTGTGAAAAAGCCCCCAAAGTTTGCAAATACCTCCTAAAAATTTGCAAGTATGCGCTCACAGTTGCAAGTAGACTCCTGAAACTTACATATACATAAAAGCATCATAACTAAATGTTTTATTGGGTCACTCGTGAACCAACCATCTAGTAAATGGGTGAGGTGAGAAGTGACCCATTTAGCAAATGGTAAATGGGTCATAAATGGTCAAGTGGTCATGAATGTGCCCACCCGTTAACGACCCAACCAAAACCCAACCCAAACTAGGGCTGTTAATCGGTTTGAATGGTGCGGTTAATAGGTGACACTGAACACCAAACCGATCTATTTTTTCGGTTCAGTTCGGTTTGGTTTTTCACTTATTTTTTCATAAACCAATCGTGTTCGGTTTAGTTAGGTTTGGTTTTTCTCTGGTTTATATCGGTTTTTTTCCGGTTATTCTATAAAGAAAACAAGTCTAGAAAAGTAGAAAGTAGAAATGTCTCATATTACATAACCGTTTCCGAAAAGAAAAAAAAAGGAAAAAAATGAAAAAGGGCAGCCCACAATGCCACATAACAGTTTTCGAAAAGAAAAAAAAGCGATGAAAAACTAGAATAGCAGAAACATGTAGATGATAGATCAGCACTTCAAGTTCAGCAGCAAGCTCCTTCATGACCAACATTTGGGGAAAGGGAAAGCTACAGTACTACGTGACAGAAGGCCCAAGATTTAGGGCCGATGGACGGGAGAACCCTAGATTTGGGGGCGATGGACGAGAGGGGACGAGACGGAGCGCGAAGGACCAAAAGCTCGTTGGGTTTGGGACTTTGGGGGCGATGGATGAGAACTCAGATTCTCAGAAGCCCTAGAAATATAATTAAAGTCTAATGTAGACTATGTAGTAATGTTAGAACGCAGGCCAATGCCATCCTTTTTTTTGGCTTCATTTAAGCCCAAGTTTGAAGTTTCTACATAAAATTTTATGTATATTAATAATATATATCTATAAATAATATAATTTCCTTATAATATATATAATCGGTTTTTCGGTTCGGTTTCGGTTTCCAGTCATCCGAAACCAAAACCATACCAAACCTTTCGGTTTTCGGTTATTTTTTAACGGTTTGGTGCGGTTTTTTTCTTTCCTCGGTTTTTTTTGGTTATGGTTCGGTTTTGGTGTGGTTATTTTTTCGGTTATCGGTTTTCAAGTTATAGCCCTAACCCAAACCACCCCTTTGCCAAACCTAGGGTGAGCTAGTGGTTAAAGCAAAGTTTAGGGGGATCTCATTGGCAACATTTGGGGGGCTTTTATACAAGAAGAGGGGATCACGCTGCAATATTCGAATTTGATTAGGTTTTATGCAAAAAGCACCCTTTTTTTTCCTCCTGCCTTTTTCTCTTTTATAAGCTCGAGGAACAACCAACCCACAACGCGCAACCTGGAAAAAAAAACCACGCCCAAAAAAGAAGAGGTGGGGAAAAAGAAATAAAAAAGCCCGGGACAACCCGTAGCTCTCAATTCCCAAATACTAAAACTCGTCTCCGCCCCTCTCATGGCGAATCCTCCGCCTGATGGAATTCACGACGACTTCTTCGAACAAATCTTCTCCATGCCGGCATCCTACGCCACTGCAAGGGACGGCGGGGCCCTCGGCTACGGCGATTCCTCCGCCTCCTCTGGGTTCTCCCTGGGTCTCAGCTTAGACAATCACCAAAATCAGCAGCAGGGACAGCTAGAGGACGGCGGTAAGCGTATCCTCAACGACGATGACCAGCACTCCGATGTAAGACGCGAAATTTGTCCGAAGCGGTGACCCGACATTTTTTTTTACGAAAAAAATAAAATAAAAATTTCGTCTTTTTATTACGTAAATGCCCGTCGTTTGTGCAAAACATTTATGCCATTGTAGGGGAGGGAGCCCCCGGTGCAGCTGGCGAGCTTGTTCCCGCCCTTTGGACACAGCCCAGTTTCTCAAGGACGGCCTAACCCTCCTCCTTTCCAAGTCCGTTAGCTTCAATAATCGATAACTAATAGATTAATTAGTCATTATATTCAATTATTATCAAAATCATTCTTATTATTGTTTTGTGTAGGTTCTAGCAACTCATGGCACAGTGAACGCAGCTCCACATCATCCAGCTCCACGGCCGAGAGTTCGGGCAAGGAGAGGCCAGGCCACCGACCCTCATAGTATCGCAGAGCGAGTACTTTACTATCTTAACCTTTTACTTGCTCATTCACTTAAGAATTTGATACATAGGAAATGCATTACTAATTGGTCTTTATGTTAAAGTTTGTTATGTCCTTTATGATGTTTGGAGCGACAATTTTGGGTTTTTTTTTTGACACTTGGTGTTTCGTCATGCATGTGTAGCTACGGAGAGAGAGGATAGCAGAAAGGATTAGGGCATTGCAGGAGCTAGTACCGACCACAAACAAGGTAGTGAATAGTTATGCTTTATTATTGCTAGCTGAGGTTGCTTGCTTATTGTAATTAATATCACTTTTCTTTCTGGGCCTTTCCGTAATTTCGACTTTTTGATGAATTCAAAACTTCCCAAGATTTTATTCAGTTCCTGACGTTCCATTTGAACATCCGTTTGCTGGAGACGGCATGTTCTAGTTAGTAGTCCAATACCATTTTCATTTCTAAATCCAGTAATGAGTATTATAGAAATTTGTACTTAATTCTGTTAGAATATAAACCTCTTATGCTCAATACTCAGCACAACTTTGTAACTTTGATGTAGTGGCAGGTTCTTTGAAATTTCTATAGTTCCTTCACCACTTTCAGAACTTCACCAGTTTCTTACCATCATCTGGTAGTGCCAAGCACTTTTTTTATTTTCTTTTTCTTGCTGTAAACTGGAGTAGTGTTTCCATCTAAATCAAAGAGAAGAAGCTTCTCAAAATTTCGAATATGTATATGGCTGTGTATACAAGCACAACCATATATTTTTGTATAGATGTCTGTTTAATTAATGATGTAGTGGTTATGATGACACTGAAAAGTATTGATGTCTTATTTCCATGGAAAACTTTTCAATTCTTCTTGATAGGTCATACTCTATGAGCTACTAGCAAGTTCTCTTTGATGGAATATTCTTTCTTTTCCCTTTTTACCCACAGTTGGACCGAATAAAATCTTGGAACACCAACCTTCTCTTTTATTGCAATTATAAAAAATATATATCGTTCATTGATTATTAGCTGGTTCCTTTTTTTTTGGCAGACAGACAGAGCACTCATGCTTGATGAAATTGTAGATTATGTAAAATTCTTGCGACTCCAAGTCAAGGTATGATGATGTAAATCATGCTTAAGTTCTTACTTCTTACTTTATGAGGCCTATCACTCTTAGAACAACCATGCGCAACTATTACCATATGTTGTAACAGCCCTCAAATCTTATAAATACGTATGATGTGATTAATAATTATGCACTTCATCACCATATATGGGAGCACAATGAAAGCATATCATTCCTTTTATACTTCAAACAATTAGGTGATGGGAGTCCCTCTAAATATGTCTTATCTCAAGCATGTGTTTTTACCGAACCAGCTTCAATTTCCTCTTTGAACTTTCTTTACATTGACATCTATAACGGTTAATCTAGATCTGTAAAGATCTGTAAGATAGGGTTGTCCTCCCCGTGGTGTTAATCAAGTATGTAATATGACCATGATACCCATATACTACTCTATAGGTCAAATATATTCTTGTCAAAATTTTTCCCTTCTTTTCATGATTCATGATGCTTTACCAGAGCATGTAAAACAAAGTCAAATAAAAGAAAATCATTGGGTTCCATACATTTTGCAACAGAGTTCACAAGTATTGTAAGAGTTTCTCTCATTTCCGCCACCTTATGCACTCCAAACTGTTGTGTGCTTGCAAATAGTCTAGTATCATTGTGATAGATGGGCCATCGTGAAATAAAATATTAATTCTGTTCAAATTATGGCGAAATAATCCATGAAGAAGTTATTATAATTTTTTTCATTTATTCTCAAAGAAAAGCATTATCAGCCCTCTGCTTCTCCAAAACTGCTCTTACTTTCCTCGGAAAATAAATGTGCTCATTGGAATGTCTAATAGTACCTTGCAACTATTTGCAATGGGCGTAGTTAGTAATGGTGTTACGTATTTTCTTGTAAACTTTATGTAATTTGCTTCATGTGCTAAACTTGGCCATCTACATAAGTGTGCAAATGGTTCTGGATTAGATCATCTTCACTTGCAAAGTTCTTATAGCCATTATATAGATTTTGCTGTGAGATGAGAGTTAACTTTCTGAATCTTGCCAACCCTTTGGAATTTGGAGTAATATTCTCTTTTGAATCTGTTTCATTAGCTGGCTAGCTGCAGCCTGCTTATGTTCTTTAGGTTCATTCTGGACATGACAGGTTCTAAGCATGAGCAGATTAGGTGGTGCTGGTGCTGTTGCGCAGCTGGTAGCTGACATCCCCATGTCCTCAGTTCAGGTAATGAATGAAAATGTTGATCATATCTTGACTGCACATAGCTAGAAAATTGGTGGTACTTTTTCTATTCTAATTTTTTGGCTTTTTAATTCTTTTTTGGTTAGTGATCAGTGCACTGCATTTCAGAGTTCACATTTCCTTAGTGTGTTACAAGTTATTCTGTTAGTACTTGTAGTTACTAATATAACTAATATTGCTATTCAGCGGTGGATCTAGAAAGTTTTTCTAGGGAGGGGGGACGACAAGTATGTACTTACCTAAAAAATATAATATTATAAACAATAGTATCTGAAGGAAATACTTTTAGTACACTTTATCAGCTTCATTGCATCATATTGCATGTCACGTGATAGATAAAGAAAAATGAGTATTTTCACTAATAATTTACATAAATAGGCTAAAATGTAAATGGCTTGCTAATTGGTTAGTAATTATATACATAAGGGCTTGGATGCAAATTATTTAAAACTAGGAAAAATGTAAGTTGAGAATAACTCAAAAGAAAGTTATAGAGTTGTTAGGGGTACAGCTGCCCCCATAACTCATAAGCTACATCAGCCCCTGCTGCTATTATATTTAGTTCGCAACTTTTTTATGTTAATGAATTGTGCTGAAACAATTAACCTGTGTATAGTAAATAACTCTTTTTCTTTGAAATATATTTGAACAACAATTGAAGGGATTGCGGTCAATTGATTGCTATATTTCCAAGGCTAAACACTAAGTTTTCTCGTGAAAATGTTTGTGCAATACTCTAGTAGTAGAGTTTTCTTATGTATGAGTATAGGAACTCAGAGTAGGTAGTACCTATTCAATATGGCAATAATATTAGGCTCCAAGATAATGGTTAACTCTGAACAATTTTTTTGAAACAGACCCATTTCAAATTTTTTTTTTAAAACCGACCCTTTTTTTTTATTTACCAAAACCGACCCGATTTTGTGATTAGCAGTCTAATTACCTTCCTAAACAGTCGGGGTTGGCAACCCCGACTATTTAGGACATTAATTTTTAGGGTTTAAGGCTTCTAATTAGGGTTTAACACCCTCTTAAATAGTCGGGGTTGGCAACCCCGACTGTTTAGGAAGGTAATTAAACTGCTAATCACAAAATCGGGTCGGTTTTGGTAAATAAAAAAAGGGGTCGGTTTTATTTTTTTTTTTGAAATGGGTCTGTTTCAAAAAATTGTTCGGTTAACTCTACCATATATTTGACTGCAACACCCGTTTCAAATTGTATTTGTGCGTGGAAATATAATGGTATTTGTATACACCATTCTTAAAATCCTATCTTTTCTTTTACATGTGTATATTTTATCTATCCTTGTTTGATAGGTCATGATGGCAAATTTATGTTTATCGTTATTTGTCACTAGTCACATCAGCATACACTAACTGTCATTTTCACGGGAACAACATTTTCTCAGAGATAGCCTCTTTATTTGCCATGAAAGTAGCTACTGTAACCTAAGTCAGGACGCCCACCTCACATACGCAATTCATTTAAAAAATCCAATTGATTTTCAGACATGATATGTTAGATTTTCCTCTATCAGAAATTTACCGTGTCCAATACACTTGTGGATACAACATACACATACATATGTAAAGCACTACAACATTGTAAATTACTTTTTTACCTCAAATATCAGTATATCAAGGACAATGTTTGTGTTTGTTTTGACAAGGCTAATCATCTTATAAGCACTTAGTATAATTAGGTTTCTCTATGTGAATAGTAACACATATTTATACAATTGTCAGTGTCGTATGCCCTGTAGTTGTGTCAGAGAGCATGTCACCGCATCTATGAATCCTTGTTTAGGTTTCTGAACTTTATAGTAGGTTATCTATAACTGCATCGTGTGGGTTGGCACCTTTGTGCAATCATTTGGCAACTTTATTTCTTCCAACCACTTTAATTTCCAGAATAACCAATCAAGTCATCATTCTTAATGGCGTAGACTTTTTATTCGTCATGTTTTTGGACTATTGAATACCACACTTCACTCTAATATTCTATCAGGTTGGAGAAGCGAGCGAGGCAAAGACCACGCCCCAGGTATGGGAGAAGTGGTCAACTGATGGCACAGAACGTCAAGTAGCAGAACTCATGGAAGAGGATATCGGCGCTGCGATGCGATTCCTCCAGTCCCAAGCCCTTTGTATTATGCCAATCTCCCTCGCTGCTGCAATCTACCACACGCAACCGCGGCCTGAAGCCTCATCAGTCAAGCCCGAGCCCAGCAACCCTTCATAGACTCTGGAACCTCCATCCAGCTGATGAAAATTTTGAGAAAGATCCCCTCGCCTTTTGCTTTCCCTTTCTTTTTTGTGAAAGGCGGTGGTGGTGATAGCAACAACATTCCAAGGAAAAGAATCCGCTGATGTATTACTCGCTTTTTGGGAGGGAAGGTGAGGGCTGAGAAAGGTCGTTGCCCGCCCTTTTATTTTGCTTTTCGGGGGGTTATAGTGCACTAAAGGAGGATCACGCTTCAGTGGTGGGGAGCCCTTTTGCTTTTGCTAGTGGAATTTGGGCCCAAGTAAAAGTCTAGGATGCGTGTAGGTAGTAGTCTCATGTTTTGTCTTTCGATCGATAGAAATGGTCAGAAGGCTAAAGTGGTTGCTTATGATGGTGATGGTGATTGTGGAGATAATAATCTTAGGCGATGGTGGTGGGGGCGGTAGTCCTCTTTGTTGTTCATATTAGTGATGATGGTATTGGAGGGCTGAGTCGAAGAAAGGTAGAATCATATGCGCCATAGCCTGCTTGATAGTGGCGAAGGTTGTTTCTATTTTTCTTTTTTGGTTTCCTACAGGTCGTTCCTTATGTAGACAGAGACCTGAGCTAAATGTGCAGCGCCTTTCCTGCTGTTAATGTTTTCGCTTCGTGTTTTATATGTAAATCTGGTCGGTCGGCTTGATGCGTTTCAATAATGATGCGCGCTGTGCGCAAACCCTGCGTTTCCTCTGAAGCTGTGGTTGCATGAAAGCGGTGACAACAATGCGGTTATAGTCCTCCAGAACGCGTGTGACGTCTTGAGCCATCAACCTTCAACGTATGGTCCTCACCGGGGTCCGATCTGTTGGAATTTATTCCGTGATTAGTTCAAAGAGATTAAACACAAGAACGCGGAAGCATACCTGAACCCGTGACGATTTGCACTGATCTGATTTGGGTTTTGGATCTTTTAATCTTGAGGGTTCTCTCCTTAAGATTTCTCTTTAGATGGGGATAAGAGGATGAGAACTCAACCCTAAGATTAGGGACGATAACCCTTTTATATAGACGTGCAGTTTTCTAATTTAGCCCCTCATTAAATTAGAATTGCGATATGGTATCTGCACAATTAGCCCATGACGTATATAAATACCCATTGATCCAATTACCTGATTGATCACTTTATACGAGTCAACTGTAAAGATAACAACACACTGATATAACATATGTGTCTACAAATAGATTTAATTAGATTTAAATCCAATAACGATCGATTCAATTATGAGAGATCATGGGTTTAATAAGATTGGAGCAGGGGTCTTTATTATTAAAAAGAAAATTCTGATAAGTTAGCTCTTGGTGTCACTCATAGGCGCAGTAGCACGTCGTACTATGAAGTAGAAGCGGAGTTAATAAGCAGCTGAAATGGTGAGCCACAACGTTCTGCTGGCTCCCCCCTCGACGATGCCAGTTTGTGCTGCGTTACGCCAGGCCCATGTTTGGAATTTTAAGGAATATTGGTGCGTTTTAGAGGCATAGTTTTCCCCTTTTTTTTTTTTTCCTTCTGAGAAAACTCATTTTTTTTCGTGGACATGTTAGTACTTTTCCGCAAGATTTCTTACTTTTTATATTGAACCAAACAGTCTCCTATTCCATTTGAGAAAGCACCATCTTTTATTTGATTAAATATCCAGTTTTACATTGGACGAATTGTATTTGGCATAGATGTTGGCCGCTAAAAATCTCTATTTTTCATACGGAGATTGGTCTTTGAAAAGCCCTCCCTGGATGAGAATATTAGGATTTTAGGCATTCCTATCGCTTTGCACGGCTTGCAATATTTGTTGTGCTCATTGGATGGAGTACGGAAGGAGGCATGCAATCATCTTTTTTGTAGATAGTGGCTTTTTAAGGATTTTTGGTTTTAAGCTGAGAAGGTGAGATTCTATTCAACAACAACTATTATTTTCTTGCAGGGAGGGGAGAAATCTTAATAATCTTTATGGGTTTTTTTTGGGCGATATTCCTACATGGGATCTTTTGTTGGGAAGTTTGGCTCAAAAGTAAAACAAGGGGATCTCTTAGGGTAGATTCTCTAATTATTTAATCTGAAGAGGATCTTGTTGAGATGGGCAAATGAGTAGTAACTAGTAGTACTACATATCTATCAAATATTTTTCTCCTACTTCACCTTTTTGTTCGAGATTTGGAGAAGGAAGCTTTGGTTGCTTTTGCTGTTAGCGATGACCTCGCTTTCTCTATTCTTATTTTGCTGTTAGTGGAGGTGCAATGGTAATTAGGAGTAGCCTAGGTTCGTTGGTGGTAGTGGGTTCCTTCTTTAATTTTCGCCAATGATACACATTTTTGACCGGAACTAATGGCTCTTAAAGAAGGATTACTCTTCTTTGTAGAGGCAATGGTATAATGATTGTTGAGATTGAATCCGATCGTCCGATTCTTCTAGAAATTCTAGAAAAAAAGAACTTTTACAAGCACTAGAAACATAAAGCAACCTGGATTGAGATCATACATGTTCTTGGGGATATATGCATTACTCTATCTCACATGTGTTCGAAGGAGAAAACCATATCGCGGATAGATTGGCAGCTCATGGCTCGAGGAAATAAGGTTTGAATTTCATTATAATACTTTAATTTGGATTTACCTCAGGATGTTAAATTGGCTTGAGGAACAAGTTAGACTTAGGCTAATTTCATGTATTTTCTTTTGTTTTTCACGGGATCTCAAAGATTTTTGAACTTGTTTTAGTTTTTTAGTTATGGGATAGTGTTATTATATTCTGTTTTTTCACATGTTTACAAATTTTCAGGAATGCATCCATTTTTGTAAGCTTTTAATAGCTATTCTTACCATTAATAATAAATAAAATTGACAGGTTTAACAGGGACCTGCAAAAATTTCCGGTTAAAAAAAAAGAGAACTATCTTTTTCTTGTCCTGGTTTTCTGGGTCCAACAAATCCTGGACTGGATGACAAACTACATGCCACTTAGTTCAATACCCTTCCGCCTGCAGAAAATGAACTTTCAGATGTAACTGCAGAGGTCCAAGTTTTTGCCGATGGTTCTCATCTAGGCAATATAGGAAATGGTTCCAAAGCATCCTTTAACTTCAAAATACCCAAGTTTGGACTAGCTTCTATATATTTTCGTAAAAATCCTTTAACTTCAAAATATCCTTCCAAAACAAAAATTTAAAACATCTAGTTCCAAACACATATTGCTCTCACTAGTTACTTTAACTTAAAGACTACGATCATATTCAAGTTGGCTTATATCATATGTTTATGTTAGGAAGTTAATTATATGGGTGAGTGGATATTCAGAAGAGTATAGAGTTCCCTAATCTTCTTTAATGGCTGATTGATCAAGGGGAAGTAGATCTCTACGCAAAGAATACCCATTAGAGGGCCGAAGATGATGTCTCCAGCGTGCCGCCTGATGTTCAAGTCAGTGATAGATTAAACAAGTTTGTAGAATGCAGATCTAGTTTTAGGGTGTTATCCAGCGTAGCGGGGCAGAGTGGGGTTTGTGCACTATTTATAAAGAATTTGTAGGGGTACATTGGTAATTAGACCAGTTGATGTAGTTAGGTGATCATATTGCACTTTACACGTATCGACAATTAATTAGTTGAATGAATAACCTTTTTATTTAATGTGATAGTGATAGAAGGGCTAAAATGTTGGTGTCGTCGGAGGAGTCATTACGACCTCGTTCCTATCATAATGACTTTGGTCGTGCATTAAATATGATGACGACTGAATGATGCAACTGTTAGGTTGTTGTTGTTTGAGAAGTCCGAGTAGAAGACGCCTTTCATCTTAGACGTGGATTCCTTTAGTAGGTCCTAGCTTAAGACCATATTTGTCTCTGACTCGGACTGCTAGAGAAGTTGTTAGTGCTCTCGACCTGATTTGGCTTTCAGATTATAGGACTCGGCTAGTTAATTATGACACGTGGCTAGATCTTAGGAGTTCATTAGACTCGGTAATTCTTAGGGTAAATATGAGTTTGAGAGAAATCGAATCGTCTTAACTTTTCGCTGCCTTAGGGACTTGAACCACCTTTTTTGGGGACACTATGATCTGACATTTTTGACGTTAGCATAGATCGTGTGTAGTAGGTCACTTGATTGATGAGATGATGCTTTGTTTGAAGAGAAGATGCCTTGGTTTGAAAATCATTGGTGGTTTTTAGGGACTTGAGTTGGTCGCTAGGATCATGCCATGTGTCACCTACCCACGCCTATAAATATCCTCATTTCTTCTCCCCTTTGATGCTGCTTCCACATTCTAAAACCCTAAAACTTCATTGAGCTATCCATTGGAGCATCGACCATCTTTCTGAGATCTTTGACATTCAGAACTCTAATTATCTACTCTGACTTGCTCCAATGGCTTTCAGTTCGCAGCCCTTTATGGTAAGCAACGAGGATCGAATGTCGCTACTCTAACGGTACACGTCATTGGTGCTCCAGACCCGCTTAGAACAATGCTCCAAGGATTGTGATATCCCCAACAACTTAACATTGCCTATTCTACCACCGGAGGGCACCATCTACCACTATGGGGGTGATTTTAATTCTGATGTGTTAGCACCATCTTGAGTTCGGTCTCTGTCTGCTATTGCATCATTTTCTTAGCGCTAAAAGTGTATATTATTTGTGACGTTTTAACTTAACGTCGGTAAAAGTGTATCGATTTCACGATATTTTTTATATTCGTCGGTAAAAATATATATTTTTAGCGACGTTTTAGGGTTGGCATCGCTAATAATGTGCATTTATTGCGACGTGTTAGGTTATCATCGCCAAAAGCCTCTTTTTCACAACGTCCCTACTTTGTGTCGCTAAAAGGTCTATTTCTGGCGACGCTTTTTTATTCATCTTCGTCACCAAAAAAAGCCCGCAACTTTTTCCCTCTAACTTTTCCAGGAACCCTAACCCTCGATCCCTATCTAGTTTTTCTCCCTCGACTCTCTCTCTCTCTCTCTCTCTCTCTCTCTCTCTCTCTTCATCTCTCTCTCTCGAACTTTTCTAGGAACCCTAACCCGTATTTTTTGTTCCCTCCAATTTTTGTTCTCTCTCTATCGAAATATTTGCTCGCTACAAACAAAAAATTTTGCCCTTACTTTTCTTTTTAGGGTCGATCAAAATCCTAAAACTATTCCCCTCAGAACTGAGGATCCTAGGTTCAAAGCCATTCCCCTAAGAGCTTAGGATCGAAGCCATTCCCCTCAGAGCTGAGGATCGAAGCTCGATCGACACTCCATCTTGTTTGATCAATCGAAGGTAAAGCCTCTCCCCGATGCCCGTTCTCTCTCTATTTTCCTTCTCGATTTGTATTCAAATGAAATTTAACTTATTTTTATTTATTTATACCGTATTCGAATTATTTGAAAGGTTCCATAAATTACTATAGTAATTTAATTTGGCCGATTTTTTCCCCTGAGACTTTGTGCTCTTGACTGTGGATCTCAACTAGATAATTTTTTCGGTTAGAATCATTAGTTCTGGTTGTATTTTGAATCTGAAGAGAAGATTCCTTTTTCTTAGTGTTCGTTGATTTTTTTTTGGGAAAATTTTATCAATTTTTGATAAAAAGTTTTCTAGAATTGGTTATAAATTAATTATTGTTAAATTATGCAATTTCCATGTAGTGTAATTAGGCTTGGATTCATTTATTCCAACAAAAT